ATCTGCGGGTTCGTCTTGCCGGTTGCGATTCCAAGGAAATCGTTATCCGTGAAGGAGAAAGTAGCATCCGGCTTTCCCTGGTACGGCCCTGGAAATCATAAGCAAGACTTTCAGAACACTGATACGGGCAACTGAAACTAAGATTGAAGGACGGTAAAGGAGGAACCTTTGGTGACCTCGCCCTTCTTGAGGTCGACCACGAAGATCTCCTCATCAAGGCCGATCTTCTGCAACGCACAACACCGCACAGGAATACAGTGTCAGAAAGGCCGTCGATCTGGCCTGAATTTCACGCAATCTAGGCAAGAAGAGGAGGGATTCACGGGTGATTCGAGAGGGAGGGGATGGGGAGGAGGAGGAGGGGAGCCTGACCTTGGGGGCGACGTTGAGCTGGTAGACGAGGCCGACCTTCTTGGTGAGCTCCTTGCCGGCGTCGGTGGCCAGGTGCTGGCGCATCAGCTCCAGGAGCTGCGCGGATTTGAGGCTGCTACCGTCCATCTCAGCGGGAGCGGGCGAGCTGGGTGTAGGATTAGCACCGCGGAGTAGAAGCGGAAAAATTGGAGAAGGGAGATGCGAGAAGAGGATGAGGGGCTCGCTCGTTCGGTTTTGTTGGGAAGCAGTAGTTGCGGGAAGGAGAAGGCAATCAAAGCTCCCGGCAGGAGTACAACTCCAACCGCCTAATCTTATTTAATTAAATCGATACATATCAAGACACATAATAAGTGTTGGGTGTAATAAAGAATTAACTCGTACAGAAAACAGGCTGGGGATTAACTCACCTTAATAGATGACTATTATCTACACTATTGTCAGGTTAAGATATATGGCGAGCCATATGCCTAAGCACACGAAGTCGCAACGCGCATGGACTTGGATAGTAGCATTAGCGGTGCCAATGAAGATTTTGCGGCTCTAAATCGTAACTGACGCCGTGTTGGATCGCTGGGCCAAGGTGGGAACGAGGGCAGCATTAGCGATGCCAACGAAGATTTTGCAGCTCTAAATTGTAACTGGCGCCATGATTGATCTGCTGGGTCAAGGTGGGAGTGAGGGAAGAGGGAAAAAATTTAGTTCTTTAATATTAAGAATAAACTAGCAAACTTATGATTTGCGACTCAAATATTTTCATTCTTTAATATTATCTAGGTATAAACTAGCAAACATACAATTTGTGACTTGGAGGTTTATTCAAAGATTATGCTATTTCTTCCTATGCATCTTGGAATCGAATTTCATATTGGTCAGAATTTTTTATTGAATTTATGACCAGGGCTCTTAGAATTCGATTTATTCTCCTCAATCAGAAAATCCCATCAAGGTAAGAATTTTTTTTTATTTCTGTCACTTTCTAACATGTATTTGTGCTCGTTTTACACTGTATCAGAATTTCTGATGGGGATCAAAATTTCGATCCTGGGCAAAAAGTGACATAACAGCTACCCTTTTGGGGATGAGTATTTACCTCACTCCCCTTCACTCCATTCAGCTCCTCCACCTTGATGAACACCTCTCTCTAGGCCATTTGATCTCTCCCCTCCCTTTTTGTAAGGATTGATTGATTCTTGTGGGATCTAAAAGAGTTGGGGTTGAGAGATTGTGTGGTTAAGAGCAAGAAAAAGCAATCTCACCCTTGAGCACTTGTGGATCTTGTCAAGTATTTGGGGGAGTGTTTGTTACTCTTGAACATGAAACCTTCTAGAGGTAACGAGTTGATTGGCGAGCTCCCAAAATTACGGCGAGCCATGGAAAGTTTGAAGGTTTTGATTTCACCTCCGCAAGGAAAGAAACCACGGTAGAAAAAGTGAGAAAAATGTATGTCTAAGGTCTGCATGTACTATGTGTTTTGGTAGAGAAGAATAAGTAATAATTGATACATGACAGCCAACAATAAGAAATAACTGAGTTATCAAGGTTTTTTTTTTCAAATTTACTGTCGTTTCAACCGTGTGTCTCGGGCGTCGTGTTTGTTTAGTAACCATATTAGGCTTTGTTTGGATGTTGTTGGATTCACCTCGATCCACATGTGTTGGGACGGAACTTAGTTAAAATTCTACTCCAATGACCCCAACACATGTGGAGTTAAAGTTTCACTCCAATCTACCCCGACACATGTAGATCAACGTGAATTCTACAACATCCAAACAAGGCTGAGGTCATATTCGTCCCCCAGCCCCCAAGGATTTTTTAAATGAAAAACAAGAGAACGAAGATTATCAGGGCTGACTAGTGGGTAGGGATAATTAGATCCATGTATTAGTGGGAGCTTAGGCCTCGTTTAGTTCCGCCGAATTGCCGGCGGCAGAACACTGTAGACACACTGTAGCTACAGCGTCGTTTGTTTTTATTTGGTAATAATTGTCCAATTGTTGACTAATTAGGCTCAAAACGTTCGTCTCGCAAAGTACAACCAAACTGTGCAATTAATTTTTGATTTCGTCAACATTTAGTACTCCATACATATACCGTAAATTTGATGTGACGGGAAATCTTCTTTTTACATAGTGTCGAATTCTGGAATTTAGGACAAACTAAACGCGGCCTTAGTGACCTTTTTCAAGCCTTGTACTAAGCTAGGGGTCTCGTAGGTGTAAAGGTGAGCCGTCCTAGTCGTCGTGGTACGGCTTGCCCTGCTGTCTATCTTGTGAAGTCCTGATTCCTGACGCTGTCCTGACATAGGCAATAATCGCGCACAGGTCTACATTCTGGTGGCAATAATCGCAAGTACGCGACAGCTACATTTCGTCTACATCCATCAGTCATGAGTAACGTATCCCAGAAAAAGGGGACATTGTTACAAGCAGGTCAGCAACCAGCAACTGAACACTCTGATCGCTGCGGCCTGCGGGGGTACAGATCATCCGAACAGCTATCAACCTGATGGTATCTCATTATCAAATTATGTCAACAACATGTAAACAACATTAAGTTACTTGCATGATCTCACCATGGCAATAGATAGGAAGGAGTTAATAAACAGATTAGATGGTACGCCTCATTTGTTCATATGAGGAACGCGCAACAGAACCTAAACGGTAAACTGTCAGGCGCAGACTACCCACGTCACAGAACAAGGAGAACGGTAAGCTCTGAAGCAGCGGCGGTCTACTGGGGGTAACCGGGGACTCTTGACTTCGTCTGATATATACACACGGGCACATCTAAGCCGACGATCTTGACTTGGGTCAATTCTGTGCAAGCTTCAGCAGGCTACCATGGGCCAGTCAGGGTGCGGCGCAGGCAAAGTTTCTTTGCCTTTGGTCCATGTTGGTTGTTGATTCGCTCCAGGACCTGCAAAAACCATTTACAGAGAAACTTCTGTGAGCCAAGAAAGCATTGCCTAATGGGAACCGTCATTTTCCAACTGATGAATATGCAATGCATCAAAATCGGCAGCCAAAAAGATCAACTAAGATTTTCACAAAATTTTCCGCTACAAAATAGACACAAAATTTTCACCAAGATTGTCATGGAAAAGCAAACTTCTCAGGTTAATATGTTAAAAGTAATAATCAGAACCAAGAACTGTCTGAATTTCAGAAAAATTAATGCATGCTTTGCTATTTTATCTCACTAAATCTTGAGGATGTCAACACCGATATTGTTGTTCACTCACTGACGAGATTTTCTTTTAAAAAATATCAACTAATCGGGACAAGTTAAAATATAGACGTGGTAGCACAAAGCAAGGTACAATTGCTAGTGTTAGCATTCTATTTCCAATAAGTAAACATCATGCCATATAAATCTTATTTATGTGAAGCCCTCTTTATTTAAAATTCGAACTAATTAATCAGATAAAAGATAAAAATATAACATCTCAATAGAGTTAACTCATTACTTTACTAAATTATGTCAAGAAGCAATGCATGAAAAGTGTATGCAGCAGTGTCAAAAGTTTCAATTGAATGTGTATCCTATTCGCAATGGTACATTTCTTTGCTGTCAAACTAATTCACATAGGATACTAATTGATATGTACCTAGAGTGCTCTGATAGGCTTGTGGTGAAACCGTGAAAGATATGCCGATGTTAGAATTCAAATATGATTTTTTTTTGGTTAGCAGAAACTATGTCATATGGAAGTTTTGGTATCCTAAACATCTCATGCATAGAATGGAATGTTGTATTGAAACCTATACCTTTATTGAATCCCTTGACTGGACATGCCAAGGTTTATCACATAAGAACTGACAAGTTGATATTCCCAGACCTTGCCCCATACTTAAATTGGTCAGCTTTTTGCAATTTGTATTCATATTTAACCATATGATTTATTTGAAATTGTTTTAAGGAATTAACTTTTAAGATCCCTTAGAGGAAGACAACAGTCTCCAGATAATGTCAGTAGAGTTTTTGAAATCAAGGGACCTCCTAGAACTTTTTTTTCCCTGAGACCGTGCATGTGCACGTATTTCATTAAGAGGAAGTAGAATTTGGATTACAGGAGCAGGCCACCAATGGTAATGATAATTACCATCAGAGGGACCTCCTAGAACTGCAGGCTATGGCAGCATTCCGGAGTCAAGTTGATGGTTTCTATGTATCTGGCACGCCTAGTACATGAAACAGGCACAACAAAACAGGACAGAAACGAGAATCAAGTCATCACTTTTGAATGTCATTCATATTTATGTGTATCTGGTAGCTGCATTTGAATGTCATCACTTTTGAATGTCTGCCTAGATGCTCAATGCACAAAAAAATCATGCAGAACAAAACCAGATGGAAGATAAAAAAATCAAGTCATCCCTATTTCCATGCAATGAATTTATTTATCATTTTTGGATACTAACTCAATCAATCTTTTTTCTTATAAACACTGAACATAATGGATGAATGAACTGGTTGACATCATGTTTTACGAACAAGTCTATGGTTCAGAAAGTTTTTGGGTGCAAAAGGAGAAACTTTCAAAATCATGTAACAAAATAATATGGACATGAAAATGCAATAAGGTCATCATGCATTGATTTAGTGATAGGTACATGTTGGAGTAAATTCTAGGCGTATTTCTGGAAAAAAAAAATCAAACTCTTGTCCAACCAAACATCAGCAGGTTTGTATCATGGGAAACTAGGAAGAAGAAAGAGCCACACTGAAATGTTGTGAGGCAGAGGCTAGATCCGTGAAAGTTCCATGGAAAGGATTAAACCAATTATAAAAATAAATAGAAAAACATAAAAGGATTGTTGCTTAACAGCAGCATATCATCAGCCCCCCGCCTCTTTCCCCAACATTAAGAAAACATGCAATAGTGATCAGGCAGAGTCTAAAGAGAACTTGGTAAAGCTTCTACAGAAATGAAAAATCTGAACAGCAGTATTTTCCCCAAATGGAAGATCATTACCTCATCCTTTTGCTTCTTTAGCATTTCAACCTGCACAGTGAAGCATAATAAGTTAATATAGCCTCTTTCGTTTTTATCAGGAGTTAAGAAGAAACAAACTATCATGCATGAAATGGAACTTAGGTCTGAAATATAAAAATCCCTAACACCCGTTTGGATCCTTTCATTTTGGAGGAATTCGAATCTACTTTATGGACTAGGCTATTTGGCTTGGAATTTGACATTCTAGAACTTTTAAAAGTTTAGATATAGCCTGTCTTAAATTCATGAGTTGAGAGATAGAACTAGATTCCATTGATCGCCATGCTCTGTTTTTGCTCTGCAACTTATGCCACGTTCTTCGGCTCGCTAACATGCAACAGCAGTGCAGAACACAAGTATCTCCCCTAATGTGGCCAACAATGCATACAAGTATGTTACGCATGTGACCATGTTAACTTGATCTGTGCCTAAATTGTGATTATTGGAATTGATTTCATTCTAAGGATCCAAACAGAGACTAAGAGTTAAGCTAACCAGAAATTGCCTTCATTTGTCTCAACATCAATGAGGTGAGGTGATAACGCTACAGTGCTACACAATGGATAATACAAGTATGCAACACTAGCAATTTAACAATAACATCAGATGCCCAGGTGATACATGTGACAATTGAGGTCTGATAATTCGATATACATAATATACATTTCAAAATAGACATAAATCAAAATACCATTGTAACAACATTAAGCTCATGAAAGATGTGTGCCCAAACTAGCAGGTTACGAGCTCAAGTCTAAGACAACATGCATCAATCTATATGTGCAGTCTCCATCAGTTGCTCAAGGCAGCTAGTTCGATGCAGAACATATGCAACAAGGATCAGGCATTTGGAAGTTCCTACCAAATGTGGCAACTTACCTGCTGTCATGCAAGCAGCAAGCCTCATTATAAAATTAAAAAGTCTCTAGGAGCTCAAATCTCTAGAAAAAGGTACCAATGTGGAGAAAGACTTCATCGAAGTCCAATATGAAGAGATTATCAAAGGAACACAGATTGAGTACATTCATTGATACGGTATACAAATAATGTTCATACAACCTTGAAAGAAAATCTTTTTTTTTAGTGGCAACCAGTGGCGAAGCTAGAGCAATTAAAGAGGGGTGCAAGTGCCTTGTGGGTGCATAGAATGTGTCGTGCATATATGGTGAAATTTTAACCAAACTAACTGTTTTTACATTGGGGGGAGTATATGCACCCCTTTCAACAGTGTATCTTCGCCCCTGGTGGCAACAACATATCTTTCTTTTTTTTGAAGAAACTGGAGGGGCCGAGGCCCCTACGGCAACAACATATCTTTTAACAAAATATAGCAATTATACCTGCTTTTTCTGCAACTCATCATTCTGATCCTTGAGTTTTGCCACCTCAGCTTCCAGCTCCATTATGTATGCCTACAATGTTAGAAAGCATGCAGTTAAGTGTCTGTACACTGGGTTGTCATTTTAAACTCTTATCAGTGAATTGAACTGACATAACAATTTTCTGTCAAGTAGAGAAATCCAATAAATTTGAGTTCCAATGGAAAATTAGGGGTCAAAGATTATAGCTTATACAGCAGCACATGTGCACCATGGAATAACTTACAGATGTAAAGTACATCAATCATGTCTCTTGTATTTGCAGCTAAAATTAACCGGAAATAACACAAAACCATGTGTTTATGATTGGAATTGTAAATCTCTGTAAGCCCAAGGTGCTATCCCTATCATCTCAATGAGGTGGTTGAAATGATGAAGTCTGTGAGACTGCAATGTGTAATCACCATCTCCCAAATTAACAAACTTATCCAGTGTCCCAGTCTTTCTGAATCTGATAGGGTCAAGTGAACGTTCATTCCCAGATTCTTCACCTCTTTAGATGAAGATAAGAGTATACAATGCAACTTGCTATTTGTAGAGGCTACTTAGCAATAGATTAATATCAAAGAGCTCAACTGGAAGTGGCAGATCACATCAAGTGAATAAAGTACAATATAATCCAGAGGCATACCAAATATAGTCACCATAGAGTTCCATTTCAGACAAATTTTTACTATAATTAAGCTAAAGGTGCAGTGTGATTAACAGACAGCATAGCAGTGCACTGAAAGAAGGAAGGCTCCACCTGCTTCCTCGCACGCGACCTGGCGGCCGACTCCCTGTTCTTGATCATGCGGCGCTGCCTCCTCTCCACCACCTTCTCAACGGTCGGCCCCTTCCTCACCCTCAACGCAGTGTCGAAGGGATACGGCACCGGCGACAGCGACGACAGATCCCCGCCTCCACCTTCCCCATCCCGTTGAGCACGACCGGCGTCGTGGGCGCCGCCACCGTCATCCCTCCTCCGAGCCCCCTGCCCGACGACCCCGGCCACCATCCCGTTCCCCAGCTGCATGGTCTGCGGCGCGACCGCATTGCCCTGGGAGAAAAGCCCCTGCGCGTGCGGCTGCAGCACGAGGGTCTGGTGCCCCATGTCCTCCCGAACCACGCCGGCGCGTACCAGGAACTCCTCCAGAGTCATGGACCCCAGCGTCTGCTGCCGCTGCGCCTGCGCCTGCGCCGGCAGCGGCGCGGGCGTGGGCGCAGGCGCGGGAGCGGGAGCGGGAGCCGCGACCGGCTGCGCGTCCTCCGCGCCGGTGAAGCCCACGATCTCGCGCCAGACCTCGTCGACCGTCTTCTGGCTGAGCGTGCGGGACAGCGTGAAGGAGCCCTGGTGCAGGATGGGCGCCACGGGCTGCTGCTGCGCGCGTGCGTGCGCGTCCACGGATGCGGCCGCCGTGGTCGGGGCGGCCGCGGCCATGGCGTTGGACTCCTCGGCCGTCCAGATGTTGCGCAGCAGCTCGTCCATGTTCATGGAGCCGAAGTCCTTGCTGGCGCCGCCGAGCGTGCTCTGGAACTCGTCGAACGTGAGCGAGTAGACCGAGCCCTGCCGCGCCAGCGACGGGGCCCCGCTCCCTCCCGGCATCTCCATCCCCGCCTACCGCCTTCTCCTCTCCTCTCCGCTCCCAAATCCCACCGGAATTCAATTCCGCACCTGGACTGCTGCTCTGAAACCACAGGCGGATGCAGAGGGAAAAGGGGCGCCGAACAGAGCAGGCGACTTTATAGCCGGGCAGCGGCGGCAGCGGCAGAAGCGACAGGAGGGAGGAGGAGACTAGAGCTCCGCTCGAGGGGAGCGTGACCGTGATTAGTTGCGGCTGGCGTGCTACAGTATACCACAATTAGCAAGAGGAAATCCAGTTCAGCGGGGCGAGTTACCCTAAAAAAAAGAGAGCGCAGGGGGAGCACCGGGGGATGTGGAGCTCGAGCGTTGGTGGGGAGCTGGTGCGGCTTTGAGGGAGGCGATCGCGGCGGCGAGGTGGGCGACGGGACAGGTGTCGCCTCGGGGGCAATAAAGTGCTGCTGCGGCAGCCGCTGCCGTCGGGGGACGACAAGGCCCCGCAGCCGGTCAGAGGATTACGGTCGTGGGGGGCGCCGGACAGCGGGGTGCAGCGGATCGCCACAATGCCGCGCACACGGACCAGTGACCACCACACCACACCGTACGAAAACGGCAAGCGAGTTTTTGGGTGCGTGGGTCAAGCACTTCCACTTGCCACACTGTTACAACTTGCAAGTGACACACAATTTTCCTTAAGGTGGCGTTTGGATTGTGGGCTATGATAGGTGGGATAGGAAAATAGAAAGTACTCAGCCTGTTTGTTTGGCTGTGGTTTATCGTAAACGATCGTAAATTTTCAAATGGAAATAATATTTTTCTCACACAAATCGGTAACAAGATTTCTTCATGAACCAAAACGAACGATCTGAATTCAGCCGCCCAACCGAATGGTGACTATCCACACGGTTACAACTTGCAAGTGACACTTACACAATTTTCCCAATGAGTGGCTCGCATCCTGTCCCAAATTCGCCCGCTCGAGCGCGAATCATGAACGGAGGGACCGATCGTTTTCGCTGCGAGGCGGGTGTGTGGGCTGGCCTCGACGCTGTCGTCGTGTGAAACGGGTCCCGCGATGCATGGCATGCAGCTGCTGCTCGCGTTGTCTTTTTCTTGGTGGCCTAGGGGTTCCAGCCAACTTTTTCGCCTAAAATGGCTCAGAAAGTTTTTGTGGGCTGCGGTGCTTGGGGCCAATCTGACCGGAGCGGTGAAGGCCCCGCTCACGGCCTAAAACTTGGTTTTGAAAACACCGTTCGATTGAATTGTTGTGAGAGAAAAATCATTGGACCGATTTTGTGAACAAAGTGAAATATGAGGGATCAGCGGCTGGCTGGTTCGCACTGACCAGCGAACAGCCCCGAAATTGAAATGGTTTGCGCGTGTACGGCTTATACGTTGTCATCTGTGACTTCGTGTCTTGGAAGGGTTGAGGATAATAAAGGCTTCTTTCGTCTGGCTAGCTAATACTGTAGTAGGGTTCTTGGTTCACTGGCTGGGTAGAGTCTCAAGTCTCAACAGTGTTTACGAGCCATGGGCTTATCTTAATGAATCTAGTCTGAGCCAATTTTATCTGCGCTATCGATTTAAAGGTGAAGCTAGCGGAAAGGATTTCAAGAAATTGCACTCCTGGCCACGTCTGCAAGAATAGGTCCCGCAATAGTAGCTGATATCCTCGCGTCGTGCCGCATAAATTCGCTGGCGCCATGGCCATGTCCACGTTTTGACCGCTTGTGTGTGTGTGCTATGGACGAAGCTAGTCACGGAGGCCGGAGGCCAATCATGCCACTGCGCGCCCGGCTGGCCGCCAATGTGCTACACTGTTCCCGGCACAGGATCGGGCAGCTTATCCTGTCAGTCAGACGCATCTCATCCGTCCTGCATGGGGCTCTCACCCACCTGCAACAGCTGCAGACGATCCGGGCCTCCACCTCCTCGGCAATTTTATACGGCGCCCCACCTCCGCCTGTGAGGCTACGCCAGCGCGACAGCCACGGACGGAGGGTAGCGCGAGACGCCCTCCACGTCGCCCCGGTTCTAGTCCTCGCGACCGGCCCCAAGACATTACTCTATTCTGCACGCGGAAGCGCCCTCCGCCGCACATCACGAGCTCCCTGCCTGCGAAACGGATGCGACCACAACTCCAACAAGCGAGGCGAGACCCCGTTGCGGATTGGATTGTTGGGTTGGGTTCGATAGGTTTTGTCGTTCCGGTCGCCATCGGTACCTAACGCTAACGTACGTGGTGGCGTCACTGCGAATGGGAGACCAAACAGAAAAATACGGAGAGCGTCGGCGTCGCTGGCGAACGAGTTTCTCTGCTCGGCTTTGCGCCGGTTCAGGGGGTGTTTTCTATGCGGGGGGACACCGAAAGAGGAGTGTTGTTTTGCACCTGGTAGGTAGGTAAAAACTATAGGAAATTTCTGGAAGCCCGATAGTAGAATAATACCCCCGGCACATGTAACGATGCAAAGCTTCTACAGAGTACGTACCAGCTGCCCAGCTGGGCATGTACTGGCCGCTCTCTTGTTACATTGTTTAGTCCAGGTGAGTACTTGAGGCTCGTCATCTTTTGTCCACAGGATCATTGGCCGCTGTTAGCTTTTGTGTCCCCGTGTGTGTTACCTTGCGGTTCCAGTGTTGTATGTGTCACTGCATTTTGTTTTGGGCCGTTCCTATGGACTTTTGGCTTAGTACAAGTTTTTGGGCTTTCAAATGCTCCAAATTGTTTGATATATACGTGCTATCATCATAGCAGGCCGTTTGCAGGGCCCCGAAGTGCATGCATATCATTCTCTCTGGCCCAGGTGCCCTTCAGCGGGTTTGGAAGACGAGGGAGAAACAAGACCAAAAGCATCCTACTTAGGCTTTAAAAAAAAGCATCCTAATTAGGCTTAAAAAAAACATCCTACTTAGGGTGCCTAATGGCCGCTCGCTAGTTACATTTGTTTAGTCCTGGTGAGTACTTAAGGCTCGTCGTCTTTTGACCACACCACGATAGATCATTGGACGCTGTTAGCTTTTGTGTGTGTGTGTGTGTGTGTGAACCAAGGCAGTGCGTGTTTTCTTGCAGTTCCAGTCTTGTAGGTGTGACTGCAATTTGTTTTGGGCCGTTCATGTGGACTTCTGGCTTGGTATAAGTTTTGGGGCCTGCAAATGTGCCAAATTGTTGGATACACGTGCGATCATCATACCAGGTCGTTTGATGGGCCTCCTAAGTGCATGCATCTCATGCTCTAGGGCCCTGGTGCCCAACGAGCTCTGCCGAGTACTTTACTATAATCCTTCCCTTCAGCAAGATTTGGAAGATGAGCGTGAGGGAGAAACAAAACAAAAAGCATCTTAAGCTGCCTAATGGCCATTCCCTTGATAACTGGCATGGGAGTCTGGTTAACATCACGAAATTTAGGAAAGGATTGAACCTACTAAGAATTGGTGAACCCAAAAAAAAAGATTAAAATAATCTCTTAATAAAATCAGTAATTGGGATGAACTAGCAATTGACCTCTATAATTTGGAAAAGCAATTGAAAGTATTTACATTAGGAAGAAATTTGGACACTTCTTAAATACGACCGACCGCTACGCACAACCGCGTCCGTCTTCAACCTCGCGTGCTCCACCCCTCCCCCTTCTTCCTCCTTGCCGGCGGCCGCGCTCCTCCTCACCATCACCCCCGCCCCGGTGCGGTGCGTAGGGCTTGGCTGGAGCTCCGCGGACGTGGGACCGCCTTTTCCCTTGCTGGAGCTTGCCCTAGCCGTGACACCCCCGCCCCGACTTCGTCCGACCGCCTCCACTGCCGTCAAGGCCCCTAACCGTCCTCCAGCCATCCCCACCACCTGGCATGCCTTCCTCCCTAAAACTTCCCTTTCTAAGCCCGCCGGAGTTGGGGAAGATGAGAGGGAGAGCTCACCGGAACCCTAGCTCGGAGATCCAGGAGGAGCGGGAGGACATACCTCGCCGGATCTGCCATGTCCGCCGCCGGATCCGCCTGAAGACTCCATGCCCTCGCCAGATCCACTCACCGGAGTTGGGGAGGAGGTCGCCAGAACCCTAGCTCGAAGATCCAGGAGGAGGAGGACATACCTCGTTGGATCCGCCATGGCCGCCGCCGGATCCGCCCGAAGACTCCATGCCGTCGGCGGATCTGCTCGTCGCAGTTGGGGAGGAGGTCGTTGGAACCCTAGCTCAAAGATCCAAGAGGAGGAGGAGGACATACCTCATCGGATCCTCCATGGCCACCGTCGGATCCGCCCAAAGATTTTATGCCGTCGCCACATCTGCTCGTCGGAGTTGGCGAGGAGGTCGCCGGAACCCTAGCTTGGAGATCCAGGAGGAGGAGGAGGACATACCTCATCGGATCTGCCATGGCCGCCACCGGATCTGCCATGTCCGCCGCTGGATCCACGCGAAGACTCCATGCCTTCGCCGGATCCGCTCGTCGGAGTTGGGGAGGAGGTTGCCGGGGAAAAAGAGATAGAGGGGGAGAGAAGAGTTCATGCCTCTACCGGATCCGCTTGCCAGAGTTGGGACGGAAGTTGCCGGAGATGAGAGAGAGAGAGAGAGGTGGGTGTGTGAGTGGGGAGTGGAGAGTCGTGCGCGCGAGCGGAGTCGCACGTGGGCGGCTGTTCATTGGCCCTTAAAAACGGATGACCGTATATAAGTCATTACCAAGAAATTTACTAGCTATAGAGGGGTGATCTAAAATGGTTGTCGAAAGGGGATGCCAACACCAAGTGATTTGTGTCTGCGAAGCCAATAGTAACAACTAGGAACACTATCATTGACTTCTTATTTTGTGCTGATGTTTGTTTGCCTGGCTGGCTACCTATTACTATTGACTTAAGAAATACAACACCTGGCAATTGCAAGGTCAAAGATATTGAATCATGAATGGTGTCGCTTGTTCTGAACTGACTTGCAACTAAGATTGTTAAATTCTAGATATCCGCATAAATAACTTGACTAGAAAAAGGAAGAAAACATCACTTGAAGGGTTTTCTCTCATATTGGTGGTAGGTTTTTCTCTTATGCCTTGTTTGGATGCATGTGTATCCACTTTCAATCCACATGTGTTGGAGTGGATAGGAATGAAACTTAGTTTAATTCCACTTCAACACATGTGGATTGAGATGAATACATGTGCATCCAAACAAGGCCTTAATGGGAACACATGCTATGGCATGTTCCGAAAAAAAGTTGGTGGTAGGTTCTCTTACATGGCTCATTATATTCACACTTTACCAGAATATTTTTTCCCATTTCTCTCATTTCGTTTAAGTGTTTAATACATGGTTGTTTGTGGGATGCATTTTGTTCAACATTCTCTTGTAGCATACCATTGCTAAGGTAATGTGTTATGAGTTAATTAAGTTGTAATCGTGAAGAGGTTAACCTAGAAGTCGCAATGCATGGGGTGGTGTCTTTGTATGGGTTGCTAGCTCTCATTTACACACTAAAATGACTCACATGCGCTCAAGCGTAGTGCGCATAGTTTACTAGCTAGGTCAATGTCAACCAAATAGGCTCGAAAAGGAAAGTCTATAATTTTTGCATAACTATAAGTGATATTCCTATAATCGTCCTTGCCTATAATTTTTGAACTTAATTATTTGCTATCAAGCCATGTACAAATATTTCTAAAAATCATGATAGATATCAATATATCATGACAGTTTCTGTTGAATGTACCACCCACTCGACTTAAAAAAAACAATATTGCTATATGTCAATCGGTTGATTTCGTCACCTCCGTCAACCGAATTTGTGGTCGTTGGATCCGCGGTTAGATTGTCTCCCTCGTAGGATCCACATCGTCGCCATGGCCACCGAGGAAGCCGTGGCGGGTAGTAGCAGGAACAAGTTCACATGTCCTTGACGACGATGGGCTTGGGGGCAGGGGCAGGGGAGCGGCTGTTGCTAGAGTAGGCGCGTCCTAGCGGCCGGTAGTAGTGTCATTGCCTGGGCGGCACTGGTAGCCTCCCTGCTGCTGCTAGTACCCACCGCCGTTGCCGCCCTGGTTGTGGTGGCCTCCATAGCCTTGGTAGCCGCCGCTGTTGCCCAGGTTGGGGAAGGGAAGGGATAAGGTGGGGGTGGGTCCCACCACAAGTTGTGAATATTTTGTATTTTTCTGAAAATTGTGAATAATTTGTGAACAATTTGATAATATTTGTGAATAATTTAACATATATTTTTCTGATATCTGAAATCCATAAAAAATAATTTGGTTGACAGGAGGACCCAAAACAACTGAATGCCACCTAGATAAAAAAAACCACCCACACATATAAAAATGTTCTTCCATAGTAACGCGTTGACACTCACCTATAGACTATAGTAATAAATACAAAACAATTAAACGTAGCTGATAGCGCCTTCTCCCAGAGACACCTTCACCACGCTCTGTTGCTTCACGCGCTTTGGTGGTCTCGGCCATGACACCTCAAGCGTCCCAACCAAATCCAAAGCGAGGTTGCGGTGCGACGACCCGCCCTCCTTCATGGCCGCCTGCCTTGACTTGACCGCCAGGCGTGTGGGCCTGCCGCCTCCTCCCATTTGCCTCCGCCCCCCCCCCCCCATCACCAAGGGGATCTCTGGGGCTCAAGCCCCCCCTACCTGGCAGCCATTTGAGCCCCCCCTCAGCCCCTCCATAAAAATTTCAGCCATTAATCACTAGGAAGGAGGGGCTGGAGACGCTCGCCGCTGCCTCGCTGGTGACGGAGGTTGAAGACGAGTGATGGATGGAGTTGTCTGCTTCCTGGGCCAGTGGGCCGGAATGTGTATGTAAGTATGTTTCACTTTCAGTTTCATTGGCCCAGTTCACAGCCCATCAAGAAGACCGGTCACGACCTCACGGGAGCAGACTAGCAGAGGAGTTGCACACTCGCACTCGCACTCGCACTCGACTCGAGCGACTGGGCGACTGGGCGAGCGGCGGCGGCTCCAGCTAGGGTTGGCTCCAACTCCAACCCAACGGCCGACGGAGGAGCCGGGATCCCGGCGGGCGGAGGCAGCAGGCAGCAGCGGCCGTGCCGCACAGCTACACAAGATCTTCAAGCTCTGTGGCTCTCCGTGACTCCGTCCGAGGACTACCGGACTAACCGGACGTGACGCTCTTCAAGCTGCAGCGGCCGTCGAGCCGTCGGCACGGGGCACGGTGGCCTCTGCTCTGGACAGCGAGGTAATTAAGCAACTCATATTTTTCAAAATTTGATTAGGATTTAATAAATTGCAGATTATTCAAAATGTCCAAAAGAACATTGCACACATATTTTTCTGGTACAAGTAGTACATCAACTCCAGGCACTAATGACAACATAAATCAACCAATTCGGCGTAGAGTGGAGTTTAGTCAATCCGATGTAATTGGTGATCTAGGAAATCGCATACCAATTGAAGAATATCCGCCAGAAATTAGAGACCAAGTTAGAAGGGCATATGCTTTGAGATGTCCGACCCAACCTCGTAATCTTACCTTTGCTCGTAAATGGCAAAATGGTCAATGGAGATCATTTCAGCAAACTTGGTTTGACGAGTTTGATTGGCTAGAGTATAGTGAGTCGAAGGATGCAGCTTATTGCTTATATTGTTATCTTTTCTTTGATCCGGGAAATTATCACTGGAAAAGGTTTGAACCAGGAATGTAGCCTAGCAAGGCCTGGAGATACTAGATGGGGTTCACATCTTAAAACTTTACTTCGTATTTTGGTGATGTGGGAAGCTGTCATAGACATTCTTGAGATAGTAAAGAAAGACTCTGTTAAACCAGGAAATAATGGTGGAGCATTTGATTTAATTGGTAAAATGGAGAGGTTTGATTTTGTGTTCATAATGCATTTAACGATAGAATTATTGAGCATCACAGACAGTCTGTTATGTGCTTTGCAAAGGAAGGATCAAGACATTGTTTAGGTAATGCAATTGATCATAGATGTCAAAGAGCAGTTGCAGGATATGAGGGACAATGGATGGGATCTCTTATTCAAAAGAGTGAAAACATTCTATAATAAGAATGAGATTGAAGTGCCAGATATGGACAAGGAAATAAATGCTAGAGGGACATCTACACGTAGAAAGCAAAAGGTTACAAACATGCACTTCTACCATGTTGAGGTTTTCCTTGCTGCCATAGATGCCATTTTGTCTCAGATGAAACATCGATTTGGTGAAGTTAGTTCAGAATTATTAGTATACATGGCTTGTCTTAACCCAAGGAACTCCTTCTCTAATTTTGATGTGGATAAGCTTGTGAGACTTGCTGAAATTTATGCTGCGGATTTTGACGTCGGTGACCTTATTCTTTTGCCTGGTCAACTGAGAGGATTTGTCAGTCGTGCTAGAAGAACTCAAGACTTTCTTGATGTATAGAGCTTGGAAAGGTTGCTAAAATTATGGTCAAAACTAAAATGAACACATCTTATGGATTAGTGTATCGGCTCATTGAATTAACACTAATTCTTCCAGTGGCAACAACTTCAGTTGAGAGGATATTTTCTGCTATGTCTATTGTAAAGATAGATTTGCGTAACAAAATGGGTGATGAATGGCTCAATGACTTAATGACATGTTACACTGAGAAGAAGATATTTAGAAGTATCAAGAATAATAAAATCATAAAACGATTTGAAGACATGAAATCCCGGCGTATGTTAGTGCCTCGGAACAATTTAGTGGTATGATAAATGTTCTCTTCTACCTTCAAAGCTTTGAAGTTAAATACTTGAAATTTGTGTCACTAATTTATTTTTTTCTTGTATAGATTGCTTCTAATGATTCATGAAGAATACAACAGCGTGAATGCGTCATCATCTGTCGATCTTTTGTTGGTTAGTTCTAAAAATTGTATCTTTTACTTCTTCTTATGCGTTTTATGATGCACTTTCGATTGTTTTTTATAGTTATCATGTAAAAAGTTTAAAACTGCTATATCTTAGATTTGTATGGGATATAATTGAGTGAAGTTGATCTAGTTCTTTTTGGCCCAGCCCCTCCTAAATATTTTTTTTAATCCGCCACTGCCCATCACGCTCCTCACGGCCTCCTCCACCACGTTCCGGCCGACCACGATCTTACAACAGCGGCTCCGTGATGCCGACGCTGACGCCAATGCCCAGCACCTCCACGGCCATCTTCTGGTTCAGGAACTGGCCCGTGAAGTGAGGCCACGTCACCACCGGCAGCCCCGCGGTGATGGCCTCCATCATGGAGTTCCACCCGCAGTGTGTCACGAACCCGCCCACCGCAGCGTGGGACAGGATCACCACCTGCGGCGCCCACCCCCTGATGAGCAGGCCGCGCCCCGCGACGCGCGCCTCGAGCTCGTCCAGGAAGGAGCGCACCGTTCCGTCGTACTCGCCGTCGTTCCTGATCACCCAGATGAACGGGTGCCCCGACGCTTCCAGCCCGAGGCCGAGCTCCACGGCCTGCTTTGCGTCCGCCTGCGCGATGCTCCCGAAGCTGATGTACACGACGGAGTAGGGCTCCTTGCCGTCCAGCCACCGGAGGGACTCGTCGGCGTCGATGTCGGTGGTGTTCCCTCTCGCCGCCAGCGTTGCGGAGCGCTGGTGGTGGTAGAGCGACACCGGCCCGACGGTCCAGACTTTCATCCCCCGGGCCGCCGCGTAGCCGGCGACGTACTCCGGCTCCATCTCCTCGAAGGTGTTCATGATGACTCCGTCGGCCTCGGCCCGCGCGCGCTCGACGTAGTCCGCGAACTCCTCCCACCACGGGATTGGGATCCCCCGGAAGAAGCCCGGGGCCTACGCCCTCGTCACCACGAACCTCTCCAGCCCCGGCACGACGACCGGCTCGTTGTCATCGGCGACACCGTCGTACGCGTTGAACCGCTCGACATTGTGCTGGCACAGCAGGCAGAAGGCGCACATGCTGAAGAAGCTGAGGCGCGGGACCCCGAGGTTGGCCGCGAGCACCGTGGTCCACGGGTGGCAGAAGTCCGCCACGACGCACGTCGGGTACGGCGCGTGCGCGCGGAGGTAGCTCTCGATCGGCGCGCGGAGGAGCGCGACGGCGCTGTAGTAGCTCTGCATGTACTCTACCGGGACGTTGTCCATGTTGTCGGCGCCTTCGGGCAGGCCGGCCTCGGCGTAGTCGAGCGGGAACTCGACGAGCCGGACGGGCAGGCCCGACTGCCGCCGGGCGGACTCGATGCTCGGGCGTACCCGCGCAGACGTGGCAGGGGTCCCGACGATGGTGCAGACCGCGCCGTGCGTGGAGAGCAGCAGCGCGGTGTCGACGGCCGGGATGAGGTGGCCCTGAGCCATCAGCGGGACGAACACGAAGTGCGCCGCCTGGGTTCGTCTTCCGCTGGTGTCGTCTGCGTCTCCCCGGCCGTTGGTTGCCGCTTGTCCTTGGCTACCCATCCTGATTTCTGCCGATCGTCGTGTCCGACCGAATAGGGGTTGGGGCAGTGATCAGTGTGCGTGTGTGTTCTAGTTTGCTGCGCGTGGCATCTATAAAAGACCGCATACGTGAGTCGACTTGGAGCTTTGTTTGCGTCGTTAACCCAGCCGGCCGGCCAAGGCCGGCCGGTCGGCATCTATGTCCTCATCAGTCACTCCTCAGGACTGACGTCAATTTGCGGTCGCCAGGATGACAATATGACACTTGTCTGAATTGTGAGACTGTAATGTTTGTATACTCCATCTCGCGGTAGCATGGTCTTGAACAGTACGAAACGAGTTGCCGAGTCAGAGGCCCACAAATGTTGGGTTTCTAACGAAATCCAACGTCAACTAGCGCTAATACTGACCAGGAGTACTAAATGGCGAACGATCGCTCGATTTGAACCTGGCGAATAAATTTCCGACAAGCGCTGCATGCGGCTGCATGTGCCCACTCTACTCCGCGCTCGTGTTATTTTCAATTGTTGAGCTCGTCGCTGATGCAAGCAAAAAAAAAAAAAAAAAGGTGCGTTCTACGCAACAAGACGAATAAAATTAGACCTCACTTGCATATGGTTCGAAGAATCTCGTTCTATACCAATTTATATGTACTAACTTGTAACATATAATTTATAACATATAACTTATATCATGTAACTTATGCAAAAAACATAGAAATACAAGAGTTATGAAACACAACTTATTTACAAAAAGTTATTAAAAACAAAGAAAGGAATTGATTTATAACTTATGCCAAAACTTGAAAACACAAGAGTTGTTAATACACAAAGAAACGAATTACCTTATAACTTATACCAAAATTTAGAAATACAAAAGTTATAAAATATAACTTATGTACAAAAGTTATCAAACATAATTTATGTACATAAATTATTCTATATAACTTTTGTACATAAGTTATTATGATAAGTTATTCTATACAGCTTGTGTACATAAGTTATACATTATTCTATATAACTTATGTACATAAGTTATTTTATATAACTTGCCAGCGCTGCAAAAAAAATTAAAAAAATATATAATAGAAGACAAAAATATAAAATATAAAAAAGAGTATTGAAAAATCCGGATGGGAATATTGAAGTACAAAAATTCAGACACCAGTGTGTGTTACTCACGGAGACTGAGACAAAAATTCGGTTGCACCAATATGTTCGCTGGATTCCTGTGGTAGAGAAAAACAAAAAAAACATCCCCAGACATAGTCCGCAGACGACATCCGCAGACGAGCTGGACCCACCATTCGCTCCATTGAAAACAAGTGAGTGCACGCTAAAATGGAATTGGGAGTAGGATACTCCCTCCGTCCCAGAATAATCGTGGTTCTGGGATTTAAATTATGTCCCCATAGAAATTGTCATTACAGACTACGGCCTTACGACCCATTAGCCTGGTACCATCCAGCCCTATCCCTTTCAACCCACCTTTTCTTCTCAAAATCTATGATCCCCTTCCTTAGCTGTCGTAGCGTCGCCTCGCCAGCTCATGCCTTCGCCACCACCCCTCCAGGCCTCCACTGTTCATTGCCTCCTCTGTGACAGAACCGCCTAATTTATGTAAGATCAAGTATGGCTGCCCCCATTAACACATTGGTACACATCGCAACCAAGACCGTAATAGATTAAACAAGTACACATCACATACATAGAGTTTGCAGGGGAAATAAAATTACAATTGAGTTCATAAATAAATAATACAATACCGAGTTCAAATCTGATTAGTGAAGACAACATAGCTTTGAAATGATTATAATAACATAAGTTGAAATACATTGCTAGCTCAAATGACATCCTCCAACAAAAGCATGTAGACGAGAAATAAATATAAAGTCACCGAGTCCACCGGCGCTTAGCCACCATCTTCAGCAGGCCGAGAACTTCACCTACAACATAGTAGGATAAACCCTGAGTACTCGAATGTACTCAGCTAGACTTACCCGACAGGAGAGAAATAAAAAGACTCTCAAGGATATACAAGGCTTATTTGGTGGAGTTGGTTGGATAGCATAACTTTGCAATAATATCATAAGTCCTTACTTTGAATATTTTATTCAATATTTTAGCATCAAGTTTAGTGAAGCTATTTAAGGCTAAGTTTGCACCTATTATATAGAAATAACTTGGTTAATAATCATCAGAATAGTAACCATATCCGGTTTATCATATAATCACCATAACCATCATGTTTCATCAAGTGTTACTACGAATGCTAGACAGTTACCAAGTTTCTCACTATTCAGGAGAGACGGCGATTCAAATCGATTGCAACCAGCTGGGCAGAAATCTATAACACAAACTCAGGCCCACCAGCCACGGTAGCCTTAGGTCACCTTTGGTACAATTCGGGATACCATGGGTTTAAGCTGAGCCCCACACTCAGGGGGCAGCCGGATGCCAGGTAGATCAGGTCAAGCCTGCCCACGGTCAATCTCTGTCCCACCGCACATCCTTACTTCCTCCAGTGTGTCGTCATATATCACAAATTTCCAGCCTGAATTGAGCTACTTGGCTTCGCGGTCGAAACGACTTATCCGGCTAGCTATGTGAAAGGTTGTATTCAATCTTGACCAAGGTCCAACAATAGTACGGTCCTTAAATGACACAGACGGAATCAATATAGCCAAACCTATCACCATTTGCATATAAGATCCCGTCCGGTCTCCATTTATATAATCATCACATGGTTATTTTTCACGATAGCAAATATAGCCAACTGTGACCAAGTATCCAGCTATATCTCGCAGGTGATAAGAAATCACCATGATTTCTACCGGTCTAAGCATGGCTAAGCACATATTTCGATCCTGGACCTAAATGGGTAGCAAGATATACATTTCTAGATAAGGAAAGATATATGGATCAACGGTTCCAAACAACTCATATAACTTAAATGCATCAAACATAAAGTTATCTCAAGTGCATTTGTAGAAAGAGAGGGTAGGAGGCTTAGAATGTTTCGGGGCTTGCCTGGGATCCAACACTAGGTCAGTGTTTGTTAGATGACACTCGTTTGGCGAGCATCTCCACTCTAGGCATGCACTTCAGGGGTCCTTTCATCTTTGGGATAAGTCCACCAAACACTGTCTTCGGGTCCAGCTCCAACATCACGTCCTTCACTTCCTCACATTGGGCATCTAGCGTACCTAGATGAGATGCAGCGATGCAAGTGCATGAATGTACAGAAGCAACACATGATGCGGTCGTAAGGCACTCATAAAAAGGACGTAAGCACCTAGAGTTGTTTAACTACACATCACACAAACTATTATAGAGAGATAGCAAGAATATCAAGCATGTCACCCAAGTTAATTTAAGTTTAGCTATTGCAAGCATTCATGAATTAAGAACTAACTAAGCATATTTGACCAAACAAGAGCAAGTTAAAGCAATCAACTTAAGCACATGCATAAAAAATCTGGACAGCAGCACAGAAGGCACTTATTTTAACCAGAACTGGGGTTATAGGTATCCAAAAAAGGTGATATTAGACTTTATTGAAAGGTTAGAAAAGTTTCTACAACTTTTCTATTTACACCTAGAACTGATTCATTAGTTAACTAGGTTGAAAACCACAAGAAAGCAGAACTACACAGCAAGGATAAAAAACTGACATGAATTTTAGAAATGTATATCTGATGTTCTAGACATCCAACAAATATAATTCTTAACTTTCTGGAAAGCTTATTAAGTTATCTATAATTTTCTTATTATCATCTCAAGATGATTCAACAGTTAACAAAACCAACAATACGAAGAAACAATTCTGTCCAGATTTGGATAGAATCTGACATTAAGCTTTAAACATCTATAACTAGAGTTCTAGACCACCAACAGCTGCGTTCTTTAATATTTTGGAAATCTTATGAAAATAAATACAACTCTTTTATTGTCACCAAGAGACGATTCACAAGTTATCTTAGTCAAAAAGGCACAACATAGCAGCACTGTCTAGAACATAAACAAAACCTAACATGGTATTTGTAAAATCTATAACTCTCAAACCAGTTGGTTTAAAATCATGAAATTTTAGGACTACCATATTAAGGAAGTTATCTACAACTTTTATATTTACCACATCTACAAAAAACATCATTGTCACCTTGAAAATATCACCGCAACAGAAACTGCTCTAGCAGCCATTTCAGCACACATGTGTAACTAAGTTCTCCACTTGATTCACTAACAAGACCATACATGTACAACTAATTACATAGATCCTAGATAACATGAAAAGCACACTAAACATGTTTCTAAGCATGGAGGTCACAAGATGATGCTTATCTCTTATTTTCATTTACTAGACACTCGTTTACCGAGTAGCAAACATGGGCAACACATAAGGAAAGGTAACCTGCCTCCAAAGTGATTTAGGGGCTGGTCTTCACCACACACAAACATCCTCAACATTCACACAATGATCATCTCATCCAAAGTAGAGCTAAAGCAAAGGTTATCGACTCGCATAAGCAACATTATTATTAGTTGTTATATTAACATGAGAGCATACACATAAGCTATTCAAAAGCTTAAACAAAACCAACACTCTCTAGCAACATATAATTCAACACAACTATTAGAAGCATCACAAGAGACATTCGAAAGCTTATTCATTATTAAGCATTCATAATTTTTTATATATAAAAACCTATATATTAAATATAAGTGATGTTGCAAACATAGAGTTTGGAGCTGAGATTTTTATGGATGATAAATGATGACAAAACATGACACTCTAGAAATATTAAATGCTCAGGTTTAGTATATTAATTACCACAATAAAAACAAAGTTTAATTGCGATTAAGCATGTGAGAGCAAGATAAACCTATAGGTCCACATTTTCTGTGAACACATGGCTATATTAAGGTTCCATAGGCCACAACGACATCATAAAAAGGTAGAGGAACAACATTTTATATTTTTACACACTTATTTTAATTATAAACCATTAATCAAGCATATCCCTAGTTAAATCCATAACTCAGTCATACTGCATCCAGTGAACATGAAACTTTTTCCAACAGTCAAGATACTTGATATTAGGGTGATGCACATGAAATAAGCATCTTGAACATTACTCATGCATACATTTGAAAAGGATCAACACGTAAGCAAAGGTGTGTCATCCAAGTTTAAGTTGAGGCTCATTTTCATAGATTTGTCCTCACCACCTTCATTGCCACTTCCAAGATTATGAACCAATTCTCTTCATCACCAATTGACATATATCGTCTCAATCCACACCCACTGTTTAACTTGTGACTAACACATGGGGTGTTACATCCTCCACCACACCTCACTCCAACAATGGCGCTCTCATCTTCTCCACCAATCCCTGCCTCATCTACGGCACCCCGCCGCAGATGGGGCTATCAAGGAAGGATCCGGCCACGAGTGCGACGTCGAGTAAGGATCCGGCCATGGTGGGACGGCGCAGAGGTCGCGGTGCGGTTACAAAGGTCAACGAGGGATGCAATTTTAAATTTCAATCAAGTCAACTTTTCAAGTTTCACTAAATTTATTGAAAGTAATATCAACATTTATGTCTCTAAATAGATCTACTCCCTCTCCATGAAAGAATGAATTCCTAGCAACTTTAAGATAGATTAGCAAAGAAAATAAAAGACCATGCTGCCCCTCATTAAACTGTTGAACCTTAATAGTTCTCCAGTTACCGAGAATCCTAATTAAGTAGTGTCATTTGGAGTATCTAATAGCAGCGCAAGAGAGAGAGGTTGTGTTAAATGAGACCCAGACTACGAGATAGATTAATGTGGATCGGTGGACTGTTCACCTCCAAAAATCAATTCTTTTGGAGATAAAATTTTTGGTTAGAAATTGATTTTTTCAGGGACAGAGGGAATATAAACATAATTAATATAATGGTACTTACAAGGATGCAAATAGACTTGCATGCGAATCTATAAATATGCTTGCAAAATTAAGTCTATTTATGGTTCGAAAGCCTGTTTTCATCCCTAGGTACCTATCTGGTCCCATAAGTATTAATATTTTTTATAAATTTAAATTATTTGACTCATTGAAGTTTCTTTAGAACAAGAGGGGAGTATATATCTACATAGCATCTGAGCAAGCCCTTATAACATTAACAACATTGTTCCGGCTGATTTGTTATGAGAGAAAAATACTGTTTTGGCTGAAAAAATAAGCCGAAAAATACGGATTATAAGACAAGCGAACATGACCGCATTGACTTTCACTAGCAAAATCATATTGAATTGTATCAGGAGCAACAAGGCAGTTACGCCGGCACTCCCACTTGGTCATCCAGATAGTTAAATACTCTAATGTCAGTCATTTGGGCCACCAAAAGCTTATATATAATAACATACTAATGTACTAGAATTTCTTCTTCTACCAACTACGAGACTGTGTGCCCCCCCAAAGACGGCGAAAACTATTGATTGCTGTAATATATTACACTTTAGACAGAAAAAAAGCTATAACGACTTATTGGAACGAAGAGAGTACTAAATTAATATATCACAATCCTACATGCACCACGAGCTCTATGTTGGTAATTTCTGGTTTTGTCCATTCTAAAATAAGCGCATCTCGTTTTTTGAGGATTCATGGACTAGATTTATAGAAAATATTTATAAACATTGGTATTTCTTAATATATTAATTATAAAAATATATTCCACCATTAATTTGCTAATATTTGTTACACATATTAGTAGTGTATATATATATATATATATATATATATATATATATATATATATATATATATTAGGCTAATCTTAAAAATGGTAACTTTTTTGGAAAACGAGATGTATTTACAATTTTTTCTATGGAGGGAGTATACATCACGGGACCATAAAAAAATCTGTGTACCCAACATTCGGTTGTTCTGGCCCTTCTGACAACTGAATTTTGTCAATGCACTTACACTGTCTTATAACTATATTTACACTGTCCTATTACTATATTTATAATAATTTCATCAGTATAATTTATTAGACAGAGTGATGTAATTTAGTTATTTCTATGGATTGCAAACATATATACCAAATTTTTTCAGGGAAATTTACAAATTATTTTTATGGAATGCGGATATCAGAGAAAATTATATGTCAAAATTGTTCACAAATTTCAGAAAAATTGCAGATCTTAGAGGAAGAGGAGAAAGCACAGGAGCGAGTGCGGAGCTCCGTCCTAGTGAGCGGCGGCGCGAGGGGCAGTGCACCGGCGGTGGTCCGCCCTGTGTGTGTGTGGGGGCTAGGGCAGCGGCAGCGGAGGGAGACGGCACAGGGAGACAATGCCGCATGACGCCGTGCAGGGCGGCCACGAGGTCGCGGCGCGCGCTAGCCGTCGCAGACCCGGGGCTCGTGGGGCTATGCAGCGGTGCTGGGGAATCACCGTTTTACATGGCGGCGGCGGCCAGGTCCATTTGATGGTGCGCCTGCTGTTAGGAGGTGGAAAAAAAAATGGTTGTTCAGTAATCCAGAAATAACCGGCTATTGTATAGCTTTTCTCATTAAAAAATATAGGATTATCAGCTGTAGTACCGTGTTTTTTTTTCTCACAACACATCAGTATCAGTCGGCTTATCGATCACATAGAATCAGCCGAACGGCTCACGTTGATCGTGCAGGCAGCGATGATTTTCAATCCAATCCAACAGACAAAGTTTGAAAATCACTCATTGGCTGTCATCAGACAACTTTTGCCGCCCCGAATCCAAAGCATATCTCCTTTAAGATGGCACGCACATCCACCTAAAGTCACAGCGCACCAGAGGGCAGAGGCAAGAAAACCACAGCTCACTCGGGAAGACGACGAGCAGGATGACGAGCCAAGTGCCAGCGTCTATCCTTGCCCGGGGAGACGCGGAGGGTGACGGCGGCCGCACAAAGGTGGCGCACTTCGTGTTCGTCCCGCTGAGAGAGCAGGGTCACCTCATCCCGGCCGTCGACACCGCCCTGCTGCTTGCCACCCACGGCGCGCTCTGCACCATCGTGGCGCTGGTGCGACAGACCGTCGAGTCCGCCCAGCGGACCGGGCTGCCGGTCCGGCTCGTCGAGTTCCCGCTCGACTACGCCGAGTCCGGCTTGCCGGAAGAGGCGGACGACGCGGACAGGGTTCCACCAAATTACATGTGGAACTACTACCGCGCCATGGCGCTCCTCCGCGCACCAATCGAAAGCTACCTCCGCGCTCACGCGCCGTACCCGACGTGCATCGTGTCGGACTTCGTCCACCCCTGGACCACGGAGCTCGCCGCCAACCTCGGCGTCCCGCGGCTGAGCTTCTTCAGCATGTGCGCCTTCAGCCTCCTGTGCCAGCACAACCTCGAGAGGTTCAACGCGTACGACGGCGTCAAGGACTCCAACGCGCACGACGTAGGATTTTTGCATAGGGTATGCGTGTAAAAAAAATTCTTATATAATTCGGTAAAACTATATTATAATTTGGTAAAACGACGTTAAATCTTAATATAAATTGTTCAAATGAAATACAAATACTTCGAAATATAACAATAGGAGACTTACAATATTACTTGTTTATCGGCTGCTTTCTCAACGACATGAATGTCTCTATTATATCATCTTCATTAATTTGGAAGAAAATATCCTGCTCAATAAATATGACTAGACAATCATCTAAAACAGTATCACCTATCTTATTCCTTAGACTTTGTTTTCACTATACCCAATGCAGAAAATACCCTTTCAACACTCGCAGTTGCCACTGGTAAAAGTAATATCAATTTGAGAAGCAAGTACACCATATCATACACTTTGTGCCTCTTTGTTTCAACAAGCTTAACTGAGAGATCAACATAATGTTGTCTAGACCTTGGAAGCTAGCATCTTGTTGCATGTCATCAATATAATTATCAAGTTGCAATTCAAGTTTTAACAAATCATTGTTGGAGAAGTCCTTAGGATAAAATTCAGCCAATCTACGTACCTTTCGTGCATCAAAAGAAGCAAAAGAGTTGGAAGGACCGAAGGCTGACACACAAGAGAGTAGCTCCATATTGATCTCATCAAACCGATTATCAAGTTCTTGACTAATTTGATCAATGACACCAATGTATACTTCTCTTCGGAAATGGTTATCATTTGTTTGGTTTCGGGCATGAGCATACCGTGCTGATTTTCCATAAGGCACATAAGCACCATCCATAACAGGAACTTCAACACCATGTTTAATACAAAAAGAAGTGACCTTCTGAAGAAAATTATCCCAATCATTAGATCTCAACTCCTGCATTCTGCTCTTTGCCACTTAACAAGTGAGATTGCATTAAGAATATCTTGATCCCTTCTCTGCAAGCACTCGGATAACTCATTTGTATATCCAAGAATAACATACATTAAGTGCACAAAGAAAATAAACTCAAAGGTTTCAAATGCTCCAAGCACAGAATGTATCTTTGTCCAATCTTCCTTATATGCATTATCAGCACCAAGTTCAATGAGCACATCATGAATTGAGGAATATATAGTGATGATGCTACATATAGTTTTGTAATGAGAGCCCCACTGAGTGTCACCAGGCCTAGGAAAACCCATCTCTTGATTTAATCCACTCCCTGATTCAAGCTCACCACACTCTAGTGCTTTCTTGACATTCTCAAGCCTAGCATTTCGAAGCATATCATGACGCTTGTAAGAAACCCCAACAATGTTCAACAAGATAGATACTTGATCAAAAAAAGTCTTGCAGTCAGTATTTCCTTTGGCAACAGCAACAAGAACTAGTTGGAGTTGATGTGCAAAGCAATGAATATAATAAGCGGAAGGTGATTCTTGCATGATTAAAGTTTTGAGCCCTTTAATATCTCCTTTCATATTGCTAGCCCCATCATAACCTTGACCTCTAATCTGTTGCATACTCAATCCATTACTAACAAGTAAAACTTCAATTGCTTTCTTAAGTGACAAAGAGGTAGTATCATCTACATCAACAACTCCAATAAAGTGCTCATATGGCCTTCCAAGTTTATAAACATAACGTAAGCAAAGAGCTAGTTGTTCTTTATGTGATATATCACTAGACTCATCAGCTAAAATTGCATAGGGCCCATCACCAAGTTCCTCAATTATTTTCTTTCTAGTTTCTATGGCACAACAGTGAATAATTTGCTTTTGTATCTTTGGGCTAGTCAAAGTGCAATTACCTGGTGCATTGTTCAAGACATACTTGTTCACTATTTCCTGCAAGAAACTTTAAAAGTTCAATGAAGTTGCCTATGTTGCTAGACTCTTCACTTTCATCATGTCCACGGAATGCCAATCCTTGATGCAAAAGAAACTTGATACATCTAAGTGAATATGTCAATCTTTTCTTGTAAAGACGAAGCTCCTCCTCACTCCACTTGTCAATGTTATAATCAATTGCTACCTTGGGATTCATAAAACCAATGTACCTCTCTTGAGCTGCTTTATGTGCCCTAGAACCAGAATGTTTGAGAAGTGCTGTGTTTCCTACATTCCAATTATTCCATCCATCAACAATAAAAGTTTTTGACCCACTGCCCTTCTTGAACAAGTAGCATATGAAGCAAAATGTAGAATCCTTCTTGACACTATATCCAAGCCACTCATAATTATACAACCATTGTATACTGAATCGACGAGGTACGCCTCCAAAGTTTCGGTATGGAAAATCATGTATATAAGGTTTGCAAGCACCTTTAGTAATATATGCTCTACGGATTGCATCTTGATCATTAACAGGATAATCTTCAATGGGCAGCCTTTCACCTGGATCATATGGTAGGCGATTGATGTCATACGCCGATGGCTTTGATGCGGGCGGTGGCGGTGATGCTAGCGGGGGCGAGGGCAAATGATCTGCAATTTCTTCAACTTGTACTCTATCTTCTTCTTGATACTGCTCTTCCACAATATTTTCATCTGGAGGTGGGTCAATAGCAGCCGCCTTCTTTGCTGCTTTCTGAAAAAGGGATCGAATGTCTCTGTTTCTTTTCATAATTCAAGACTCAAGAGTTCTGGAAAAAACACTCGCCAATTAGCAAAACTAACGATCGGAAGAAACCTGGAACTGAGGAAGGACGAGGATGGACGGGGAGTATCACCTGAGGAACTGAGGAAGGACTGGCGATCAGTCCTACAGGCGATGGCGGTAATCCAGGGCTCTAGGCTAGGCGAAGCGACGGGCGATGCCGATGCGCCGATGGCGGCAGTCCAGACTCAACGGGGCGACGGGATCGGCGATAGTTCAGGCGACGCACTATCCAACCTGTCTTCGATTGATTTGGAGCTGGGCCGGCCCAGCTGCATGTGCACGGGAGGGAATTCGCTCCGCGTGACCACGTCAGTTGCGAATACGAAGGGCACCGGACGCCGGACGGCTTGTTTTTTTTTATTTTTTATTTGTATTATGTATGGTTGACGGGTGGCCCACAGGGTGGTTGGTGGACCACCCTAACCACCCACTAGGTCCGCCAATGGCTAGAGAGAAGGTTCGTGGTGACGAGGGCGTAGGCCCCGGGGCTTCTTCCGGGGGATCCCAATCCCGTGGTGGGAAGAGTTCGCGGACTACGTCGAGCACGCGGGCCGAGGCCGACGGAGTCATCGTGAACACCGTCCTAGATCTGGAGCCGGAGTACGTCACCGGCTACGCGGCGGCCCGGGAGATGAAGGTCTGGACCCAGGACATGATTTTTTTTGAGCCAGAACAACTATTAGATCAAACACGAACTACAGTCTCGACTTAACTTAAAATCTGACTCAACCAAATACTTTTTTTTGGGAACACGCATTCACGTGAATTTTATTAAGAGGAAGTAAGAGTGTCGAAGGAACGGCGTACACGACGCGACTATAGGAGAACCCATAGTGCAGGATAAAAAAACCACAGAGCGAGTGGTTTAGACTGAAAACACAAGTGAAAAGCAAGAAGTGCGGCAGGGGAAGGGCCCACCACCACAACCTAGCTAGCTGGACCTGCAGCTAAAGATAACGACGTGAAGGCTGCCAATAAGGGAGGTGAAGCCTCGGTGGCAAAGCATCCACAAGAAAGAACATGGCAAAATCCACGAGCATAATGCGGCAAAGCATCCACGGGCTGGTAGCGACTATGGCAGCAAAGCATCCACCTAGGCAACAATGATGGCAAAGCATCCGTTGAGTATCCGCAAGCGGCCAGGTAGCCGCTGCGAGAAAGATGACCAACGACAGCAAAGCATCCGTCGAGACGACTGCAGCAACACCAACATCCACGGTGGATAGACCAATGCGAAGAGGAAGCTAAAGCACAGGTAGGCATAGCACAGGTCACAGCACAGCTAGGAGCTGCTCCGGCGAGAGGAACAGGACGGTGGCATAAGTGCTCCAACGAAGCCTCCAAGAAGGGAATGACATCCTCAGACATCAACAACGTTGAACAAAGAGCACAACAAGGACTTTTGTCCTAGGACCGCCCCAATGACCCGCATTATGAACACATCTTTCGATGAACGCAATCAAGAAGTTGGATGGTACAAAGTGCACCACCGTCGCCGACCCGAAGCGTGAAGCCGGGCAGAGTTTTCACCCAAGAGCTTGTTCGAACACGGCCGCTGGGGTGATCCTAGCAAAGCAGCGGGCCGACCCGGCATAGGAACATATCACAAAGGCAGGGGCAGGTCCAGCACCAACGGTTCTGGCCAGTGACCCAGGAGGCCACAGGACCCGACCGTCGAAGCATGGCTGGGTGTGGTAGAACCGCCCAAAATAACACGCTTTCGGAGGTGCTCATCTTCCACTAGACACTAAGCACTCTGAAAGTTAGCTACATTGGACAGTTCTGTCGAGCACACCCCAAGGGAGAACTTGAAACAATCTACGTTTTACATCTAGAATCCAATAATGAGTACGAGTTTACAATACTTAGTCCATTTCATACAATAAGAGTTCTTGGAAATTATTTATTACAATACCAGAGTTCAAAGTGCGATAATTAAACAGCAGAATTGAAATAAACATCTAACGGAAACGATACAAGGATCCATCTGTGCCCACCAGAAGAATTCTCCATACAAGAGCTACTCCTTAAGTTGCACCTACAACAGGGATAAATAAACCATGAGTACACAATGTACTCGCAAGACTTACACGACCAGTGGGAATAGTTTCCCGACTCCAAGGGTATGATAGGCAGTAAGGTTTGCTATTTTCTTTTTGTTTGCGGAAAGCATTATTAATAGTTCATCCTTACAGTCAAATTTTATTAGCAGTCTTGATTACTTCATTAGCTAACCATTCTAGATAAGCACCTGTTCTACTTTCAAGCAAGGGTTGAGCAAACAGAACCATTTCACCATCTTTCATCTTTCAGTTCTTACTACAGTGCTAGACCATAGCCAAGTCATACCGTCTCACAGAAACAACAATTCGCGAACCAATGTATCCCAGCTGGGTACCTCGAAACACATGCCCCGTTTGTTCCCTAGGCACAAACAAGACCAACCCATTCCACTCCTGTCACGGGGTCTAGGTCTCCGTCCAAACTTAGACTCCAAGACCCCACACTTGAGACCCGGTCTCAATATGGTGCTTAGACCTCCACCTTTCCCCGCCTCTAATCAGTCGGTTCAGAGAGAGCCAGAACCCACGACAAGAGCGTAACGAGCCTTCCCGCTCCCATAAGCAAGTATGTGCTCAGGATAATAAGTTTGTGACCTGACTACCATCCACAGCAACGAACGATCCTCAATCGATATGGACAGGGAAAATAGTGTAACCAAGCTAAGCCCCATTGCCGCGGGACACAACTCGTTATACCCACCAATACCCATACCATATCCCTGTCCGGTCTCAATTTTTCTTTCATCATTTTTATAATGAGAGTAATTATAATAATCACCTATTGTGAGTAACGGCAGGTTACTCACGCTACCAAAAACCTAAGCATAGCAGCTACTCGAATATGTACTAGTAGGACTCATAGGACAGTTATATCTATGCAGGTGGTTTTCATAAGATTCCTGTAACGTAAATGCACATAACATATATATACAGTGATTATAAAAAATAATGGTTATGCACCGGGGCTTGCCTTGGGCAGGGGCGGTGTTAGCTGAGTCAGTCGTCGGTGGCTCTAGGACCTCCTCACTCATGAGAATCTCCTCCTCATATTCCTCGATGATCTCCTCAAACTCACGATCGTCTATGGTCACTATCTCTACCAACTCGTTCTCTACATGCATGCGATGATGATGCAACACTTAGCATTTAGACAACAACAACTCTTAAAATAAGAATACACATATCAAGCTACTAAGCTAGCTCTAATGACTAAGATACTAATCTAACTATCATCTTCATCAAGCAAAGTGTTGGGTTCAACTAACAAACACTTGACTTTGCAAATTAAGGATACATCTTTATTTCTACTTGTGATTTAGTGTATATTGAAACAAGAGCATTAAACTATCCTAATGCTTAGTCTATTCTAAGGCTGCAAAAATTATAATGAATACATAATAGTACAATGAAACTGCTGTAAAAATTTCAGGATCAAAACTACCACCAATTCACCACAAAAATTCCTACAATAATCAACTTAATAATATTAAGCATCTCATACTATTTAATAGCTCCTAGTGTCAACACATATAAACATGAACTAAATACACTAACAGATAGATCACAATTTTAGGAACTTAACAAAATTTGTTTCATAATTTTTGGACACCTATATGATTTTATATTAATGACCAAAGATCAGCTCAGAAATTAAATTAGAAAACTATTTACTAATTCCTTAGAAAAAGAAAACGGATTCTCCGTGAGGCGCGAGCGCTGGTGCTTTTGCAACCACGTCCTCGGTTTCCTCTCGAATCACACCGAAGTCCTAATACTATTTCCCGCTCTCACAGGCCTTCTCACTTAACCCCCCGACATTTCCCTAATTCACCCGCGCGCACCCCCAGCGACTCAGCGCACGGCGACACGGCGGGCGGTGCCACGGCGTGACCGTGTTGGCCACCAGAGGCTCGCGCTGGCCTGTCGGTCGGGCCGACCTTCGACTACGATCCAACCACCTACACCAAGCAGCAACGCGGGGCGGCGGGACACGCTGGAGCGAGCTGCAGCGACGCGCGGCCGTCCATGGCGCCGACGCACCCGCTCCAATGAGCTAGGGCTGCTATGGACCTAACTGGCTAGCGCATGAACATCAGGAGGCTACCATAGGCCAAGACGAGGTGACGGTTGTAGTGGAGGATGGCGGAAGAGGGGTGGTCACGTGCGGCCGAGCCATGCGGCGGCACACTGCAGTGGCGTGGTCGCATCAACGGTGATGGGGTGGTGGTAGTGGTTCCTCTAGCGTACGCAAGGTGGAGAGGGAGGCAAGGCCAAGCTAGTGGCGCAGGTAAATTGGATCGGGGTGGACGGTAGGGGGACTGCCCTCGTCCATGGCCGATCACGGCCTTATCGGCATGGCGGCGGGGATTGCTCCAAATTGGAGCTTGGCAGTGCGTGCTTCATGGCTGGGTGGGGTTGGGCAGCTGGAGAACTCTCTAGTAGGACTGTAGATGGGTATAATTGATTGTAGATGACGTCTCGCTGTCTAACGTGCTCGCGAGACTCCGATGGCGGCAGCAGAGGGAAAGTGGGAGATGGGTCTGAGCTTTGGCCGTCCTCACCTTGGCAGCTAGCGGTCGATCCGACCAGCGACTGTGTCTGCGCACTCACTACGCGACACGTGACCAGACCACGTGCGCGTGAGGGGAGGCAAGTGGGGATGTGGCCTGCATGGCCACAACGCCATTAAGGCAAGGCGACGGCATAAGCGTAGCCGGGACAGCCCACATGCATGCGGTGGCAGAGCGAGAGGCAGCAGTGCAGCATGGCGGCGTGGTGGCGTCGATAGGGGCAACGTGATGCAGGGCAGCAGTGCGCGGACGCGACAACGAGGTGATGGCACCGGCAATGGCTTCATCATGGCGCAGGGTGGGGCAGGCTGTATATATATACTTAAATTCTTCAAAGTTCTTGAGCTGAATTTGATTTCAAGTTCTATTTTTACGCTATTAGAAATGTTAGCTAGCTATGTTATTTTTCCACAGCAAGTATTTCATTATCATCTACAAAGTTTGTACTTCAAACTTTATTTAAGTATCACACACGTGTTCTATATTATTTTTGCTCAATAAAAATTGGTTTTTCCACCCTACTTGACATAACATGAGTTATTGAATAAATTTCCATTTAACATTTTTATTGGTCATTTTAGGGTACAAGAAATTTATCAACACTTTCTATCACATGCATTATTACATAAACATGATGCTCATAACATGATTGAGTAGTTTGTTTAGGGCATAATACCGAGGGTGTTACAGTTCTACCCCCCTTAAACAAAATCTCGTCCCAAGATTTCATGTGTGTGCCTAGTGCGGGAAAAGGGATAAGAAGTAACTTTTAACTTAAACCATTACCTTGATACTTCGGGGAGAAGATGGGGATAATGCTCCAGAATATAACTCTCCTGTTCCCAAGTTGCTTCGTCCTCCGAATGATTTTGCCACTAGACTTTATAGAATTTTATCACTTTGTTCCTAGTGACTCTTTCCTTTTTATCCAAGATTTTGATGGGATGCTCAATATAAGAAAGATCAGGTTGGAGAGGGAATCCTTCAATTTCCACCACTTCATCGGGAACCCGTAGGCACTTCTTTAACTGGGAAACATGGAAGACATTATGGACTGCTGACAAAATATCTGGGAGTTG